TTAGGGGGTAGGAACCGTTGTTTTTACAAACGGAGCACCATAGGTACACCAAACGAGCTGGTGTATAAATAACTGGTGTCATTTTAGACGACGCTCCACCTAAACCCCCCTCCTTCTTTCGATTTTTCCTTCTTCTTTTCCCCCTTCTAAATTTTCCTTTCTCTTCTTCTTCTTCTTCTCCTCCTACTTCTTGTCCGTCAGATCTGAGAAAATCAATTCAGATCTATGAATCGACGAACGATCGTATTTAGATCTTTTTCACCTTCATCTTCTTCAGTGTCGATGAAGAGATCTGGTTCAGATATTGTTCATCTTCTTCATCTCCTTCAGATCTCTCTGATTCTTACACCTTGGTTGGTGCAAGAACAGAATGCTCAACTTTATTTTCCGGTATTTTTCTCTCGCTGGAAATTCACTAGATTTTGGGTTGCCGGAATTTCTCTCAGGAAGGAAGGGGTTGGGCGACAAGAGCTCGGACCAGGCATAATTAATCAGAACGGGTGTGAAAGTGGGGTAGGGTGGAGGAGGGTATTTTGGTAAAGTCAAAATAAATTTTAACTTTTATTAAACTCCGTGCCCGGTCAAACCCTGAACATTAAAAATGGACGGAGGGAGTATGTATATATACACACACACACACACACACACACACACTATTAGTTGGATTAGGTTTAGTATTTAGCATCTTTCCTAGTTTGTTTAATTCTTATTTTAGTAGGAATAAAAATTTTATTGTTTACTTTACTCTCTTCCTATATAAAGAAGCTTAGATCTTTGTATTCAAAACCAGAATTCACAAGCCAATTCAATATACAGAGAATTTCCTCCCAAATAATTCTTTCACAATACATATTTTATTTAATTATGGGTCAAAAATTGAAAATGATTAATAAAAAAATCAAAACTAGATAAATAATTTGGAACAGAGATGTCTGCAAAAATAATATGGCATGTTTGGGAACATGGATTTACATTTCAAATCTGAATTTGGCTTAAATTCCATGTTTGGGAAACTTTAGCATTTTGAATTTGGATTTGGATCAAATTTTTTACATTCAAAACAAAGTTTAATTTGAAATCCATGCACCTCCCCTTGTCATTTGAAATTCAAAATTTCAAATTTTGGAATTGAAATGAAATGCTAGTTGTCAAACACTACCTAAAAGAAATTACAAATGGGAGAGAGAGGGAGACCCTCAAAAGTGTGGATTGTCGGGCTTGTGGGATCACCTAGTGTCCCAATGATATGCCACGGGCGTATACAAATTAGCTATTCCCTCCGTCCCATAAAGTGTTACCCATTTTGATTAAAGTAGAAATTAAGGGAGAGATAATTTTGTGTTGACTTTCCAAAAATACCCTTGATGTGATGTGTAGATTATTAGGAAAAAGGTATGATGTGATAGGTAGGGTTTGAAAAAGTAAGGGGTAAAAGTGGTTTTTTAATAGAAATGGGTAGGAGATTGTGGGACACAATTTTTTTGAAAGATGTAAATCTTTTTGAAACGGAGGGAGTACTTTGGAAAAAAGGGGTAAAGTGGTTAACATAAAAATATAGGTTAACCACAAAATTTATTTTGGATAATACTCCGTAGATATTAAGATGTGTTCCCTTCGTTTGAAATTATATGTCTATTTTAATTTTTTATGCTCCATCAAGATTAACATTTGATTTATAATTAAATTATAAAAATGATATATGAAATAGATAAAGAATATATTGAAAATGTTTTGTTAGAAGATAAATAGAAAAGTTATTCCTGTATCAATATATAATTTAATTTTATTAAACTAATTATTAGGAAGTATAATTAAATTAGGATACTTCTTTCCTTTCCTACTAGGATTATTCTTTCCTTTCCTACTTGTACTTTGATTACTCTTGTATTCCCTATATATGGGGCCATATCTCTCAATATTCAATAAGACAAGTTACTATCAAATTGTATCATGGTATCTGATGGTGTAAATTATTGACCGATATATCGTTTTTAGCCCGGAAAAAACGATAAACTAGTCTAAAAATACACCAAAATATAAACACGGGAATTTTGACGTGGAAACCCAAATCGGGAGAAAACCACGGGCCTTTTTTGGCGGTACCTTGCCAACGGGGGATTTTATTAACATCGGGGGTGTGTACACGATACATGAAACGGGCTCGGAAGCCATTAATGGTGGAGCTACAAGCTCTTGAAGAAGAAAAATATATAAAGTTCTAGAGAGAGAAAGTGTAATGTGCAGGGGAGAGGGTGAGTTTTTGCCCCCTCAACAATTAGGGCAACCCTCCCTTTTATAGGAGAGGGTGAAAGCATCTACGGAGGAATATTCTCTTATTCCTCTATTTTATTAAACATGCCCGGTTTAACTGTTCTTCGTAAATAATTGGGAAATGTGGGCCGAGCCACGTATTATTTCCCATCA